CACGGGGCTCGGCGTACGCCGCATGGTGGATCGCGAGTACGACCGCATCCTCAAGTCGATGTTCGACTCGCTCAAGGTAATCGCACGCGAAAACCCAGCCGTCGGCGCGGGCGGGGGTGCTGCCGCTGCCGCCATGGGGGCCAACTCAGCAGACCCCGAAGACAAGGAGGCGCTCAACTTCCATATCCTCCTCATCGAGAATATGAATCATTACCTCGAAGAGGTCGACAACACACGCGGTCTCGAGGTCCTTGACGACTGGCGCGACCAGGCCCAGCAGGAGATGGCCGAGCACATGGGCTTGTACCTCAACGCTGTCATGCGCCGCCCCCTGGGCAAGCTTCTCGAGTACCTCGAGAATATCGAGGCGCAGCTCGCCGGTGGCAAAAGCCCCGCGGCGGTGGCCGCGCAGCCGAGTAACTCGAAGACGACCTTCAACAAGGTGCTCGGCGGGTATGATGCGCGTGAAGTCCGCAAGGGCGTGGAGACGTTGAGAAAGAGGGTGGAGAAGCACTTTGGTGACGTCGAGGGGGATAGCGTAGCGGCGATTGCGGCGGGGAAGAATCTAGTGAACAGGGTGCTGAAGGAGTGCGAGAAGTTTTACGGGGACGTGGAGATGCGCATCGGGGGCATCACAACGGACGTGTATGGCGGAGATGTGTTGTTCGAGTGGCCGAGGGCGGAGGTGAAGGCGGCCTTCTCGAATGTGGGGGGAAGGTAGTCGGGATAGGGGATGAATTGAATATTTTATTTTGGGGGGGGGGGGGGGGGGGAGGGGGTATGATTGGGAGCGAGGTTGAGGCTGATTAATTGTATGGATTGTACTACACGTGTTCGTACTGCATTACAAGAAGGGATAAAGGGGCACATGAGTACATAAACACTTAAGCTCGAGATCAATGGAAGAGATCTGGAATGGATCTTTTTAGGTTGGTTACCTTGGGTTGACTTTGGAGGGCAAAATGTGTTTGCGCTTTTGTGTTTATGTATGTATATGTATGTACCTATGTGTATTGGTTCGGGATTGAATTGAGTTGGGCAAGTATTGTGAACCAATGTCTCTTATTTACTGATGACTATTGCAGGCTCCATGATTTAGTAATGGACTCATCTCGTTTTCCCGTGTTGGTCAATTTTGTGTTGACGGCGCTAGCCACGAAGAGGTCGACATCGCCTTACCAAGACGCTGCTATTTCGAGACGCAGCCCACATTCGCGTGGACTACCGTCCCAAGTCGTCGGTTGTCGAGCCACCCCCGTCTGACCACTCGGGATATAGAGCTCTGACAACTTTGGGTTTGTCACCCCCATCGCCTCATATTGCTGCCTGACAATGCTTGGATTTTTTTTCTTCTTTCGATTTCGCGCTGGCGTCTACCCTTCTCGAGGAGGTTACACATAACGGGTGGCAGCTGCGAGTTGTGTCGGACAGCATGAGACAGCAGGCAGAGCTGGAGCTGACAGCACACAAAGAGGGCCAATCGTCTGTTTGGCAGTTCCTTTGAGCTAGGGCGCTTTGCCCGGGACGCGTTGGTCAGACTGTCAGCAAGAGTGGCTGCTGGCCAATGCTATAGAACTATCCAATGCGACTGCCCTTGACTCGACGGGGACGGCGGTGCTGTTGTCCACCATGCCTGCTGTGTTTTTGCTGTGCTAGGATGGCTGCGCCCCCCTGAGGCCAAGCATTCTGACCGGCATTAATCCAAAATCTCACGGCCTTGCCCGCATCCGGCAAGGCAGCCCGGGGCTGAAGGATCGCAGATCTGACACCTTGTAGCTTATATACACGAGCCGCAGGCGTGGTGTTCCTTCATTCCTGTCTTTTCTTCCCATTTTTTTCTTCTGCGCAGCCGTCTGATCCTCCACTGCTCTCTCCCCAACCGCAAAACACCACGGCGCAGTTCCTCTCTGACAAGAAAAAATCCACACCCAGCAGCCAATCCCCTCCCCACCAACGCCACAATGCACGCCCAGTCCCTGCTCCTCGCGCTGCTGGCATCAACCGCCACGGCGAACCGCCTTCAGCCCCGCCAAAGCGGCATCACCGCGGTGCCATCCGCGCCGCCATCCGCGCCGCCGGCGCCCTCGGCCGCGCCCTCGGCCGCGCCGACCGAGACTACGGAAGAACCTGAAGAATCTACCTCGTCAACGCGCAGCGTCGACCTGCGCGCGTGCCAGACGGCGCTGGACACGCTGATCCTCTCGATCGGGCTGATCCCGACGCCCAACGCGGCCTTCTCGGCGTACCTGGCCACCGAGACGGTGACGGTGCACGACCCGTGCAGCTGGATCGCGGACGCGCCGGGCGCGCTCGCGGGGCCCATGAGCGCCTACAGCACCGACGTGGTATCGCTGGTCAGCGCCAACGAGCAGCACGTGTCGCGCGTGCTGGATTGCTTGGACGCCAAGGGCACGAGCATCACGCGCGCCGAGACGGTGACGCCCCTGTTCGGCATGACGGCCTGCGCGGCCGTCTCGGTCACGAGCAGCGGTGCCAGCGGGGTCACCAAGACGGCTAGTAGCACGAGCCGCACGCCGACGTTCCCCACGCCGACGTCGACGTCGACGAGCGGGGCTAGGGAGACCGGGGCAGTGGTTGGGGCGGTGGCGGTGGGAGTGTTGTTTGGTGTTGCTGGGGCGATGTAAGGAGGGATGCATGTGGATGATGTTAATATACCCCCCCTTGTGGAAATCTAACCACGCTATTTTAATGATTGTAATTACATATGAAAATCCAGACGTTTGGAAACGAGTCGCGCGAGCACATCAAAATTATGCTGTCTGTGCGAGTGTACTTGGGCACCACAAATTCGCGACATCCAGTCCAGTCCAGTCAGAGGTCTCATTATGTCAAACAGTTACGGTGTCTGGCAACACATGTTACTCCAAGATAAAACTATATAAAAGTTCGAGCTCAATGCTCCATCGCCTCCTCAAACAGCCTCCTGAGCTGCCCCCTCTCGGCCTCCAGCTCCGCCGCCAAGCCCGGCGCCAGCATCAAGACCCTCGCCTGCGGTATCGTCCCTTCGACAAGCTGGTCGATGTGCTCGGCCCCAAAGCCCAGCGCCTTCAAACCCGCCGGCTGATCCCCCAGGTCGGCAAGGAACTTAGTCAGCGCCTCGGCCAACACCTCGCCGGCGCTCTCGCGCTTGACGTTGCTGATGTCGACGCCAAACGCCTCGGCGGCAGCCAGGTGGCGCTCCGGGTCCGAGGCGCCCGTGAAGCGGAAGACGGCGGGGGCCGTCACCGCGACCGAGACGCCGTGCGGGATGATGGGCGACGAGACTTGGTACCCGGCGTGCTTGTAGCCGGGGTTTTGGCCCGAGATGGGGTACGACATGCCTGGGGAAAGTTAGCTTGGGTTCTGTCTCCCTGGGGCACCGGGTTGGTGGTTACCATGGCACAGATGCACGCCAGCATTCCCGAAGCCGACGCCCGCCAGCGTGGCAGCGAGCAGCATCTCGCTCTGGGCCTCAAAGTCCTCGGGGTCGTGGACGGCGCGCGGGAGGTACTTGACGGTGGCGCGCAGGGCGTTGAGGGAGAAGATGTCGCTGATGGGGTTGGCGCCCTGGTAGGCCGGGCGCAGGATGGGGTTGGTCGGGCGCGGGGTGCGCTCGTTGAAGGGGATGGCGGTCCACGACTCGAGCGAGTGGCACAGGACGTCGAGCCCCGAGCTAGCGACGACGGCCGACGGCATAGTGCGCGTGTTCAGCGGGTCGCAGATGCCCAGCGTCGGCTTGAGGTTGCGGTGAGCGATGCCCGTCTTGGCGTGGTGCGTGGTCAGGTCGAAGATGGCGGTCCCCGTCGTCTCGCTGCCCGTGCCCGACGTGGTCGGGATGGCGATGAGCGGGCGCAGCTTGCGGTCGATGGGCCGGCCCTTGCCGAGCGGCGCGTTGACAAAGTCCATGAAGTCGGCCTCGGGGTAGCTCGCGTACAGGTTCATCAGCTTGGCCGTGTCGATGACGGAGCCGCCGCCGACGGCGACGAAGGCGTCGGGGTTGTAGGGCTTGGCCCACTCGATGGCCTCCTTGATCGAGTAGTCCTTGGGCTCGACCTTGGTCTTGTTGAAGACGCGGAAGTCGAGCCCTTCCCGGGTCAGAGCGGCCCGGACCGTCTTCATGGCGCCGAGCTTGTCGACCGTCTCGTCGGTCACGACGCACACACGCTTCACGCGCATGTTGGTCAGGTCCATGCCGACCTCGCGCGTGGCGCCTGGCCCGAAGCGGATTGACGAGGCGGCCATCTCAAAGGCGTACTCCTTGAGCTGCGACGGGTCCTGTGGCGTGGCGTACCCGCGCCGCGGCGTCCGGTCGGCGAACCGGGGGATGGCCGGAGCTGTCGAGTGGCCATGGTGGTGATGGCTTGGGTTGGCGTGGCAGGGACACGAGGGCGGGTGTGTGAACTGGACCGTCCGAAGGAGGTTCACCGCCTGAGCGGCCCGCTGGAGACTGTCAGCCTCCCTCAAGGTACCTACCTATATATGTCTGTCGCAGTCCGTCCGCTAGGGGGTCACTTACACCGGGAACGACTCGAATGCCTCCTGTCATTGTGAAGTGCGTGTCTGTGTCTCCCTCGTCCTGGCTCGTCCTGGCTCGTCCTGGCTACATGTAGAGAACAGAGGGCAAAATCGGGGACGCTCCGATTCCTGCACCTTCCCCATTCCCCAGCTTACCCCACACTCGGCTGGCATCTCCCGGGCGGCTTTACCACCACTGAATCATCCCGATGGCGGGCACCCATTGGTGTTGCTGGTGCGAGCGGTGCTGTGCAGGAGTGGGGGCTCCGCTCCCCCGCACGCCACGGCACATCCCCAATGCATTTACCCCAGCGCCTCCGGCCATCTCATTCAGGGGCTGCGCTGCACCCATTCCATGGGTGCATCCAACCTTCCGCTGACATCGCGAAGTCTGTCTTGTCGCCCAAATCCAACCTTTTCTAACATTTCGTCGTCACAGCGGAGACACGGTCGGCATTTTACAACACCAACTCATATCAACATCTGGGATGTTGGCTCAGTTGGTAGAGCGTTGGTCTCATGACATGATCTGAGTAGACTTCAGAGACATCCAAAAGTCGTGGGTTCGAGCCTCACACGTCCCATACTTTTGGCCGATTCTGGGCATCCCTCACGCTCATTTTGGCGGGGAATTGGTCGTCGAAGGAGAGGACTTGGAGTTCGCCAGAACGGGTCGTATATATCCCCTCCTCGTCGTGCGTCACTCGATGTCCAAAAACGAGCTGCGTGTATTGCACAAGGCATTTACACAATAATCAGAAACACCAAAAGAAACAATCGGCAAAACTTTAAAAACATTATACACGTCTGTCTCCTCGACCGGAATCTAGCCGGTGACCTTTCGGTATATTATTTTTCCATTTACAGCCGAGCGTGATAGCCAACTACACCACAAGGAGATTTATTCTGATTGTTGGAAGCTTCGCTGCTTGTGACTCAACATATATATACTCGGGGACCGAGGCATGTGGCTGGCCAGAGCGGGTGGGTTTACTTCCCACTAATTCAAGGAACATTCCCGGCACCAAAATCCAGCCTAATAAACCTCCAAGACGTATCTCCCATCCTCCTTCAACCTCTCAATCTCCTTCCGCGAGTCCACCTTCCGTCCACTCCCCTTCGCCTCAGCCGCGATCGCCTCCTCCAACACCGCCGTAACGTCTGGCACCGGCCACGTCGGGCCGCACAGGTAAAACGAACCCTCCTCCTGGATATACGCCTTGACGATATCCTGGATGGTCCCGCGCATGCGGTCCTGGATGTAGATCTTCTGGGGCTGGTCGCGCGAGAAGGCAGCACCCAGCAGCGTGATAACGCCCGCATCCACGTACGCCTCCCACTCCTCGCCATAGAGGTACTCCTCGCGCCGGTGACGGCTGCCGAGGTAGAGCAGGATCGCGCCGATCTCCTTGCCCTGCGCCTTCTGCATCGCGCGGTATTGTACAAAGGCGCGGAAGGGCGCCAGGCCGGTGCCGAGGCCGGCCATGATCAGCGGCGCCGTGTCCTTGACAGGCAGCTTCATGACGGAGGGCTTGACCGAAACCGTAACGGCGGTGCCCGGGGCGAGCCCCGACAGGTAGCGCGTGGCTTGCCCGTAGCGGGTGCGGCCCTTGGTGTCGACCCAGTCGACGACGACGATCATCAGGGCGACCGATGTGGGCGTGACGGCCTGTGCTGAGGCGATACTGTACTCGCGACGCTTGAGAGGGGACACGATCTTCACCAGGTTGTGGAAGTCGGGGTGGGCCGACTTGAACTTCTCCAAGATGTCCACATACGTGACTGTCTCAACCTCGGACAACTCCTTGAACTCCTCAGCACCCTCCTTGCTGCCTAGGAACTCGAGCTTCTTCTTCTCGGCCTCATCCGTAGCAAACTCGGCGAGGGTCTCGAAGAAGCGCTTGGGCGGCTTGCCAAGGATATCGATGTTCTGCACCAAGGACTGGAAAACAGTCCGTGTCTCCGTCACGGCGGCATCCTCGCGTGAAGGCACCTGCACGAGGTCATCGGCATTCAGGCCGTAGAATTGGATGAATTCCAGAACCTGCGCTGGGTCGTTATCGGCGTGGATTCCGAGAGCCTCGCCAATATTGTATGTCAGGCCCGAGTTACCAAGGTCAAACTCGATATGGAAGATGTTTCGGTCGTAATCATCGGGCGTAAGCCGGCGATTCTCCTTGACGTGAACCGTGGAGGTCTTGACCGGCAGGTCGGGCCGGAGGTCGGTCTTGGTGCCGTATGCCTCCTTGAAGGCGAAACCCTTCGCGGCTGATTGCCAGTCCTGGAGCTTCAGGTCCTGCCCTAGCTCTTCCTTTTGGAAGGGGGCGAAGCTGTTGCGAGTTACCGCCTGAACAAGAGTAGGCGCAACCACGTCGGCGGAAACTTCGGACCAGGTGGCAGGCACCTCAACCTCACGAAGGAACTCCGAGAGCGAGTCAGCGCACTCTGCGAGGGTCGCTTGGTCCTGAGCAATCCAGGAAAACTTGACAAGCTCTCCTGAAGTGATCCCAGGCCGCGCCACCCGCAAGAATGCAAGCTCGACGAGAAGTTGGGCCTCCTTTTCGAGCGTGGGGGAGAACGAAGAATCCAAAATGAAGAGCTGCAGACCCTTCTCCTGGATCTCCCTCCTTGCCGAAGCGGGAATCCGCTTCTCAAGGTCGCCCTCCTTGACACTCGGCAGCCGAACAATGAGCTTGCCTCCAGACTTGGCCCCCTTGAGAACGGCAACCTCTTTAAGAAGCTTCTCATCGCCAACAAAGACGATATCGGCTTCCTCGACGTCAAAGGGAGCCTCAATCGACTTCTTGGAGCTTCTAATGTCAGTGCGGACAACGCCACCCAACACGAGATTGTCATAGGTCTCGCCGACATAGACATTGTTCGTGGACTCCCGGGCGAGCAGGGTGCCCAAGACTGAAGGAGACTCAACGGCTGTTGAGTTATCAACATCCCAGAAGGTGTATTGCTGAACCTGGTCCAAAGAGTACAGGCTGAAAGGGACTTCGGCTTGAGCATCTTTGTCGCTGAGCTTGCGGAAAACAGCAGCAACCGAGCTAGGGGTGTGAACAGTGGAAGCCGCATGCTTCACATCGGTAACAACCAGCTCATGCGCCCATCTGTCGGCGAAGGAGACTGCGGTGAGCACATCTGAAAACAGGGCCGAGTGGATGGAAGCATCGTCGACAGACACAGCATCGTTGACCTGGCCCAAAACCGCAATCTGGCGAGTAGAGGCAGGGAGTACCGCAAGGAAGGCCTCCTCGATGAAGGGTCGGTAAATACGGACGTTGACTGAACCCACCTTCTTACCCTCGGCAGCTAGGGCGTCCACAACCTGCTTGGCAAGTTGGGACTCGGCGCTACCAAACACAACAAGCACCGTTTCCGGCGCCTCGTGGCCGTGATACTCAAAAGGAGCATACGACGTGCCAAGCTCGTTGTTGAAGGAGCGAAGAAGCTCGACCACCTTTCCGGTAGTATCCAATCTCTTGTTCAGGGTGGAAACCTCCTTTGAAATTGTCCGGTAGAGCTCGGAAATACTGGCTTCACTCAAGGCGTCCACAACTCTCAGAGTCTCTCTTGCCGTGCGAAGGCCGTCGTAAATGTGGATTGTCGGCAAGAGAGTGGCAAGAAGGGTCGCCAAAAGCGACATGTGCTGGATTTCGTAGGCAGACGAGCTGGCAACAAGCCCAAGGCCAAGGTCCTCAGCGGTCTGGAGAGCGCTCTCGTACTCGGTTACCAGCCCATCGTTGGCAGAATAGTCGGCGGCGGCGATGTGGGCAACGAAGGGGCTCGCGACTCCATACAAGAGGGCAAGCTGATCCAAAGCGGAGCGCAGATGGCGAAGGCTCAATGACGGCGCCAGCAAGGTCTGGGGGATGTGACGCTTGCCAAGGTCAAAGTCCTTCGAGAAGATGTATCCCAGCGCAAAGGCCCCGGCACCGGTCCTCGTCTGGAGGGGCACAACGGTTGTGGTCTCGCCAAAGATGTTCTTCTCCCCCGCTTGCGACCAATTCTTCACAGCGGCGTCCAAGTCGAAGGTATCGGGTGAAAAGGAAAAGATCTTGTCGGAGAGCTTGTAGGCAATCTGCTGGACAAGCAATTGACTCGTGACATAGGTCAGGCCTGAGATGGAAGCGAGTGGGACATCTTTCCCCAGGGACGAGCTCGCTGTCTTGGCGAATTCAGCAGGAGAAGCATTGGGGTCCGCAGCCTTGTCGTCCAAGGCAACGCCGCCGGAGGACTCTTGGAATTTCAGCTCCATGGCGTCTAGTCCTTCGAGATCTTGTTCAATGGCTGGAGGGAGTGGAGGGCTCTTGAAGACGGGTTCAAGAGCAGGAGCGCGGCACCTCTCGATGTAGCGAGACAAGAAGCAAAACAAGGGGCGAAGACTGCTTCAAATCGCGCAGAGACAGAGAAGACGGAGAGAGAAGAGCGCGTCCGCGAGAATGCCCAGCTTGAAACCGAGACGAGTGTGAGGAAGCACAAGAAGACAGAAGGACAACAAGAAAAAGAGAAGAGAGGTTTTACCTACCGTTTTCTCACCCGAAAAAAAGCTAGCACCCTAGCTGTTAAAGCCCGCAAAGCAATCGCTCCCAAAACCCTCTTCGGCTGGTGCTCGGCGTCGTTAAGCCCTTGCGACAACGCTGCGATTCGAAGCTCGAGAGAATGGATGTCGATGGCGTGATTAAGGCTAGCCGAGTTTGGGTTAGCGCTCGATGTCCCCCACGATCTGGAACCCGTTTGTCATCCGTCGTGCTAACGTAAGTCACGTGGAAGCGCGTTGCCTTTCAGTGGGAGTGGCAAGAACCAGTCAAAACTCCTTCAATATTCGCCTCCATGGGAGCCTCCGACTTTTTTTGTTTCAATGTGATTGTTCCATTGCCCGATTTCTGCCCGTGGCTGCGACTATAGGACCATACATTGATGCTTGCTTGCCACACCAAGATCCTGGTCGTTATACTCAAGCCATGCTGTTGTGTAGAAGTCTTCCGACTCACTTGGTAGTGATCCTGGGCTCAAGGGTCGATTTTTGGAGAGGTCGACAAGAGGGGAAAGACTTGGCAGGAAGCGCCACATCGGTTCGCAACTCGGTTCTCGGCATGACAGGGTGGTGCTTGGCATGAACAGGGTTATCCGCGGAAAGTGTGTTGTGGGGTAATAGCAGTCTTGACTAATTGCTTCGCAAAGGCACAATTATCGCAACACAACATCAGACTTTGTCACGCGCATGCGATGCAATTAGGCTTGACATAGTCGGAATTTTACCGGTCTAGCTTCTCTGGATCTATTGGCGAGTATTTTCTTCGTTTTCCAACTGCTATGGATGCTGTTCTTTGTCATTCCCAGCGTATCCCCGCATGCTGCGAAAGGAGGTACGAAGAGGGCACCGAGATGGTCGGTGCAACGTTCTCCGAGCTATCGCCGGCAATCGCATTGTCCGCCGCTGGTAAGCTGGCAATTACCTGAACACAATCAATCCTATACTATCTATCGTAAACAAACAATGTCTCCAAGCTGGATATGTTTGTTTCCTGGCAACAAGACTAAGGTATGATATGAGAGCTGAGTGCGAGGCGCTCCG